ATTATTATTATTATTATTGTACAATATACAGTAAACCTTAATGCAGCAGAGCTTAACGTTATATAAAAATAGAGCATGTTAAACGTATCTGTGCTGCAGAGTTCTGGACTTTATACAGTCCACTATGGATCTGCAGAGAACCTGCTGATCACCGGTGGTCATCATCAGGTGGTTTTTATCCTGTTTATGTTTAAGTTGCTGTACCAGAGGAATCACAGCAAACATTAAAAACGTCCCAACAGGTTTATTATCGTCTTTTACAATCATTGATGTTCTTAGAAATACTTCATATTAAACCGTCTGCTACGATTGTTGATCTTTGTGTCACTCTTTCTGTTCTCAGGCCATGAAGCGGGTTCGCACTGAGCAGATCCAGTACGCTGTGGCTCAGTACCTGAAGCGGAGGCAGTATGTGGACACCGACGGCTCCCTGAAAGGAGCCAAACTCTTCCAGTCGGCTGAGGAGATGGCTGCCAGCCTCACGGGTGAGCACAGACACCTCTTCGTCTCCCACGCATCCTGGAAAACCTGGAAAACCTGGAAAACCTGTGCCCTTCTGCATAATGAATATCTGACTTACACAGTGGTGGTTCTGCTTTCTCTCTTCTCTCTCCCTCTGTCGGGTTCTCGGAGCAGTACAGACAGAGTCCGGTTGTGCCAACATCGTCTCTGCTGCTCCCTGCCAGTCCGACCCGCAGCAGTACGAGGCTCAGTTCTCCCGGCTGCGCTCCTTTCTGTCAGGTATCACATTCCTGCTTCACAGTCCCTGAATTCCTCAGCTGAAGACGAGTGTGTATTTACACGACACGCTTTAATGTTACGGATAGTTAAAGTGTGTGTAGAAGATATATTTATACCCAGTTTTTAACAATGCTTTTTATTTCCTAAATCAGAAACAGAAATTTCCTGGGCGAAGGAGGTGAGCAGCATCCTCTACCCGCTCTTCGTCTACCTCCACCTGGACATGGTGCACTGCGGCCTGAAGGGGGCAGTAGATGGTTTTTACAGTCGTTTCCACGGCGCCTTCCTTCAGGACAGCGAGCAGCGCGCCACCATCGAGCAGCTCCGCCACGTTCTCACCACTCAGGACGTCGCAGCCAACCCCAAGCTGAGCGCTTTCCTGGAGCACAAGTACGTGGTTCACCTGACGCAGCCCGCCTACAGCTACCTGCTGCGCTACCTGCAGAGCGAGGACAACAGCGCCCTCTGCAGGGCCCTCAGCACACACCTGCAGGTGGAGGTCACCGCCTCCAGGCGCACAGACTACCAGCTGTACGGAGCAGCCGGCGGTGCGACCGCCGCCCCAAACTCCACCTCCTCCTGGGCGGGAGTGGACGGCGCTGAGGGCGGGGAGGGCGTGGAGGTCCCTGCAGGGATCCCACAGAGTGAGGCGGCCCTGGAGGCTCTGCAGGACTGCATCAAGAAGGTCCGCGAGGGCCCGCCCACGCTCACCACCGTGTGTTTTTACGCTTTCCACCACACGGAGCAGATGTTGAACACCGCCGAGGTCTCTGCTGACAGCCGGCTGCTGGCCGCCGGCTTTGACACCTCCACGGTGAAACTGTGGAGCCTCCGAGCCCGAAAACTGAAGGCCAGACCGCATCAGGCTGACGTGTCGCTCGTCCACCTGGCCTGTGACGTACTGGAGGAGGAAGTGAGTCGACTGAAGGGTTAAATATCGTCTCAGCCAGCAACAGTTTATATCTTATTGGAGCTGCACAATGATTATTATTTCTTTATCTCTTTGTTTTTATCAGAAGATATAGAAAAGTATTCAGTATCCACAACTTCAAATCATCAGTTCTCAACCCAAAGATGAGGAACTGGACCCACATTTGGCATTTTAGTTTGCTGCTGTAAATGATTAATTGATTATTAGTAAATTAATAAATCACTAATTGACACACTTGACTAGAGAAGCAGATAATGTTTTCTGTTCAGGGTTTTAATGAATTAAATACTTTACAGCATTATGGAGTCTGTCCATTGCTTGTTAGTAATATAACATTAATTATTTACTTTGATCAGCAGCATTTAATATATGGACATTTTAATCTCATCCCATTTGTGAAACAGGAATGTTTGTTTTGAGTTATTTGAACACTTCAAAGAAAATTATTTAATAATTGATTAATTAATTCAAGTAATCTTTTATAAAAAAAAAAGCTAAAATCCTTTTGTTCTTTATGTTTTTTTTTTTTTTTGGACAGTTTGTTGTGCGAATCAGGGAAATTATGATGGACAATTTTCAATTTTATGACATTTTATAGAC